ATATCAGTAGTGCATTTTATTTTTTTACTGCATCATTTAGTAATGATAATAATTATAGTTAGAGGGCAAAAAATATTGATTCAACTGTCCATTAGTGAAAGAAGGTAAAGAGGAATGATGAAAATAAAATAAGTTCAAAATACATGTATCATGTGATCAATGTTGTGAAAGAAAGCAGCTCCATCCTCCCTCTATGCACATCAAGCTCTCAGTGATGGATCAATATCAGCAAAGTACTCATGTCTCATTGCCTCTTCTGCTGATATCCTCTCAGTTGGGTGACATATCAAGTGACGCTTTTGGAGCAATAGCATTAAAATAAAAAATAAGTCACAGTGTCATGTTACCTGCAGTAAGTCCACTCCGGCATCGTTCAGTGCTGGCACTACTGACTCAATACATGCTGGAGGATATGGCGGGAACTCCTATCAAAGCAACAACTGTCATTACTAATTCTATACAACTAGGGTTTCCCACAGACTTAAAGTGAATTTTTAAAGTCGTTCAAAAATTTGGCAAAAGCCCAAAGTATTTGTTAAAATAATTTTTTCTGATGCATATACATGTACTTATGCTGCATAGAAAGTATGAGCAGATTTTGATAAAAATTGGATTTTTAATGAATTTCTCAAGTTAAAATTCCCACTTCATCAGCAGTTCATAAAACATGCTTTTTAGCTCACTTAGCATGGTTTGTAGGAAACCCTGTATACAACCTTGCCTTTACCTTAAACTCTGGAAGTTTAGTTAGACCAGGCCACGACCTCTCTGTGGGTGTACCGACCAACCTAACAGATCAGACAAGTTACAATAACTATTTTGTCTGGTTTTACTTAAATATTCTCTTTAATTGTTCATCAACGTCACTGCCAGGGAATAAGGGTCGACCAGCATTGGCTAATTCTATGAGATCATTATTAAAGGGTCACTATTTATAGTATATACTAGTTTTACCAGCAAATATGGTCCCTGCTGACCACATGTCAATGGAGGTGTTGTATACTTGAGCACCCATCAATACATCAGGGGGGCGATACCAAAGTGTGACTACCTAATGTAATAAGGAGAAAAAATTAAAGAGGAATATGAGATTCAATAATACCTCAGCTGAGAATAGTCTAACGGGAATACCAAATGCTCTAGCTAAACCGAAATCAGCTAATTTCAAATCACCTTTCTACAGAATATAATATAAATCAACCTCACATTATCACATAATTTATAAAGCATTACTTTACTAATGAGGATATTCTGTGGCTTCAAGTCACGATGAAGTATATTATTGTAGTGACAGAAAGCAAGTCCCTGGAGCAATTGGAAGAAGAAAGACTGAACTACTTGCGGTGATATGATACCACCAGATACATCAAAATATTTCTTTAAATCCTACCAACAAACTAAAGAGCTTTGAGTTCACTAGTGTACAGTACCTGATCAATGTACTCAAAAACCATCGTTAGTTTAAGGTTTTTATGAAGGACATCAGTTAACCTGTAATAAGAAATTATATATGTATCCCTGATTTTAAAATATCATTAGACTACCGAACAATATTCTTATGTTTCAGTTCTTTTAGAAGACAAATCTCTCTTAAAGCAGCACTAGGGACACCCTGACACATTAAAAAAACACAAAATTACAAGCTCCAACTTTGTAAGTAATAATCGATGCTCACTTCATCATCTTCATCTAGTCGAACTATTTTCAAAGCTACTATTTCTCCACTTTCCTTCTCTTTGGCTTTAAACACAGTACCATACGTACCTGTAGTAACAAAAACAAGGGACTGAGAGTAAATTCAATGGATCTTACCCTCTCCAATCTTTTCTAGTCTTTCATACTTCTCCATTGTATTTTTAACCCCTTAGTAACCAACTAACCCTTTGGGCAGGGCTAATTGTTACACACGTGCTAGCACATGGTTGACATAATCTAAAAATATCCCGAATTCCGGATAATCAATACTAATCTGGGTGTGGCTTGGTCACATTTGTCGTGAACCAAACGTTGGTTTTTCTTTTTTCTTCTTTCTTCACCAAAACAGACTCAACTCCAACCATCATGCCCCGTATTATGATAAAAGGAGGTATTTGGAAAAATACTGAAGTACGTTATTTTTACTGATAGAAGAAATATATTTTTATTTCCTTCCCTTAGGACGAGATATTGAAAGCTGCTGTAATGAAGTATGGGAAGAACCAGTGGGCTAGAATAGCCTCACTCTTACACAAGAAATCAGCTAAACAGTGCAAGGCTCGTTGGTATGAGTGGCTTGATCCCAGTATTAAGAAGGTAAGCTAGGGGGTGGGCCAATTAATTACTGTACAGCCGTATAGTGGATAAATTTGGAGGGGCTAAATTTTGGTGAATGGCGGGTTTTAATTTGGCGAATTTGTGGCCACGTGCCATTGAGCATGCGTATAATGACTCAAAATGGTGGGGTTTTATTTTGGCGAATGGCTATCAAAACACCAAATTCGCCAAATTTACCCGCTATACGGTAAATTTATGTTTATGTGAAAAGCTCTTCATTTGGGGGAGGGGTTTAATTTTCACGTTTTTACATATGCACATGCATCAAGTACACCTGCTCTGTATACACCAGGCCTGGGGTCAATTACAATTAAATGTAATCTATTACTATTACTATTACTTGAAAGTTTTAACTATTATATTACTATTACTATTACAGCCTTTTTTCAAAGTAATCTATTACTATTACTATTACAACAAAGTATATGTATATTACTATTACAATTACTATTACAATACGCCATAAACTTTTATAGGTTATTAATAAAAAATAATCTAATTTTGAAGTTAATCTAAGTCATTTTATAGTTTCTAATTAAGAATTCTTTGCTATATTTACAATAATAAGCCTCAGTAGTGAGCAATAGTTCCTGGCTAACTTGCTATTTTCCTAGTGTTACTCATTAGTATAACACTGCAAGTAATAGCTATGTAATATTGAGATTACATATTACTTTGACAATTATTACTATTACTATTACTATTACTTCCTGTTGCCAAAGATTCTATTACTATTACTATTACTATTACTTGGTACCCTGTAATCGTTACTATTACAATTACTATTACATATTACTATTACCCCAGGCCTGGTATACACAGTGAGTATTTCCATGGTATTAATTTTCATGGTTAAGAAATCACCCATAAAACTGTAAAATTAAATACTCTAAGGGAATTTTATGTCCGTACAGTACTTAAGTACCTATTACTTCTAATTTTGGAAAGGGGGGGAGAATTGGCATGCATGACCACAAATTTAACCTACAATTCATTAAAATTTAGCAATTCACTTCCTCCAAAATTACTAGCTATATGATTATTTTTATAATTGTTTTTAGACTGAATGGAGTCGTGATGAAGAAGAGAAGTTGCTTCATTTGGCTAAACTGATGCCCTGTCAATGGAGGACCATTGCTCCAATTGTAGGAAGGACTCCAGCTCAGTGTCTGGAACATTATGAATATCTACTGTAAGACAATAGAATAATTAGTAGTCGGGTCAGCTGTACACTGAAAATAATACAACATTTTCTGAACAATACCCTGTACTATTATAGCCCATGTTTTTTCAAAAAATGGCTCTGAAATCCCAATTTTTATTGCATTTTTTGATACATATTGATGTACTTATACTATGTAGAAAGTTTGAATCGATTGACTCGATTCCAACTGAAATTTATCGAGTTATGGTCATTTTTTAAAAGTAGTAAATTTTGGGAAAATATCCTGTACTGTAGCCCATGGTTTTTCCTGAAAAAATGGCTCCAAAATCACCCCCCACTTTTATTACATTTTGTAATACATATTGATGTTCTTATGCTATGTAGAAAGTTTGAGCCAATTCTGACTAAAATTTTTTGAGTTATGACCATTTAAAAAATATGCCAATTACTATGCATGTATAGATATGGTACACATACATGAAATCAGTATGTTATGCACATTGATGCCATGCAGATGACTGGAATGAATTATTGTTATTATTATTATTATTTTGTTAGTGACAAGGTTCAGATGAAGGAAGGTGAAGATGATGATCCTAGGAAGTTACGTCCCGGTGAGATTGATCCTAACCCTGAGACAAAACCAGCCCGACCTGATCCTGTTGATATGGACGAAGATGGTACATGATACATGTACATATCATTTATCTCTTTACTCTCCCTCTCCCTCCCCCTCTCCCTCTCCCTCCCCCTCCACCTCCACCTCCCCCTCCACCTCCCTCTCTCTATCTCTCCTTACAGAGAAAGAAATGTTAGCTGAGGCGAGAGCTCGTTTGGCTAATACTCAAGGAAAGAAAGCAAAAAGGAAAGCAAGAGAGAAACAAATGGAGGAAGCAAGAAGACTTGCATCTCTACAGAAGAGACGGGAATTGAGAGCAGCAGGGATTGCGTATGAACCATCACTCTTAATTAGTAATTTTATTCTTTTTACTGGTAGCTCAATGACTTATCAAAAGAAAAGAAAAAGAGGAGTGGATTATAATGAAGAGATTCCATTTTATAAGAAACCACCACCCGGTGAATATTTAATATTTATATCTACACTCATCCCCCTCTCTCTTTCTCTCATTAGGTTTCTATGACACAGAGCGAGAGACCATTGAGCTAGGTGGCCCTGAGGTCAGCAGTTTATTGAATAGGAATGTTGAGGGAGATAGTCGAAGTGCAATTGAGGCAAGAGAGAGGAAGAAGGACAAAGAGAAACAAAAGAAAAGGAAAGAGAATGATCTCCCGACTGCTGTAATGCAACTCAATAAGTATGTGGACAAGTATGTATTATTATTGTTAGTATTATTGTTTTATTGTAGAGTGACTGACGAGTCTTTAAAGAAAAGGAGTAAACTGGTTTTGCCAGCACCACAGATCTCAGATCATGAGCTCACTGAAGTGGTAGGTATTGAATATGGAAACATTGTACATTGTAAAAATACACCACTATAATTAAATAGTTTCTATTATAATCGGGCGAAGCTCACTAAGATGAGAGTGTATGTGGATATGGTTGTCTAACTATTATTAAAGTTAAATAGCCTAATCTTCATTGAAAGTGGGTGTGGTCACAATGAAATAAATTAAAATGGCAGTTATCAGCAAGTCTATGCTTGTTGCAAGCAAGATAAGACTAAACTGCTATTCAAAAACTTCTCCAGTAGCAAGGAAGGTTAACAAAATTCTTCTTAACTGATGTTAAAAATTTTGATGTAAAATGACAGCCTCAACTAGCTTGTGAAGCCTACAGAACTACTAAGCTACTGACTTGACTGCAGTGACTGCTAACTACCGTATAGTGCTTTATTTTCGAGGAGCTAAACTTTCGCTATTTTTACGGTTAGCACAAAACTGCGAAATTAAAGATCCGCTAAAATTTCAATTTCCATTAAAGGTGTGGTACTAACATTACCAATCCGCAAAAATTATCTCCGTGAAAAATTGATTTTATCAATCCGCGAAATATTAGCTCCGCAAAATTAAAGCGCTATATAGTATCTTCACAGATACTCTTTAATGCTATAAGCAAGATGACTTTAATTGCTGCACAATGTGTATGCATCTACTGTACATATACATGTTCAATGATGCTTTCCTTGCTCTTGTGCCTGTATGTCATACAACACAACAAATATAGCGTGGAGCCCTTTAATGTTTTAAATTCTTCTAGTTATATTAGGTGCTTATTTTCTGCTACTCTTAGGTAAAGTTGGGTCTAGCCTCAGAGAGTGCAAGGCTGATGGTAGAGGAGTCTGGTAGCTTACTCTCAGGATCACAGCAACTCCTAGCAGACTATTCCTTAACTCCCAGTGCCCCTGCACCCATCGGCTCTGCCACTCCTGGCAGTATCACACCACTATTGGGGACCAGGACACCAGCAAGACAGGACACACTCTTACAGGTTAGCATTAAGGCTGGTTTACAATATGACATTAGGCCAATGTACCGTCAATTTTTAATTAAAAGTGTGGGTGATTTGACCTTTTGACGCATGCTTTTACACTAGAATAGAACCAGATTCTATTCCAGCATCAACGTAACGTTAAGACTAGCGTAATATTGTAAACCAGTCTTTACCCTCCCACAGTAATCCAATACCTGTACTTTTGTATTTTGTAGGAAGCTCAGACTTTGCTTGCTCTGCAGAACGTTGAGACTCCATTGAAAGGTGGCGAGAACACTCCTCTCCTTCATGATAGTAATTTTGATGGAGTGACTCCAAGGAAGCAAATCACCCAGACACCTAATATGATGCTAGCAGCATCACCTTTTCATACTCCTCAGCATGGAGGAGGAGGAGGAGGAGGAGGTATTGTGAGAACTTATAAATTATAATATTTATAATGCAGTAATCTTGAATTTTATATTTTTTAAATTTTGACATGTACATGTATATGCATATGTCAACTATGGCCACATGCACACTTGCCTTCACCTAATCCACATCATCTGGTTTTGCCTTTCAAGTGTTTACACTACTCAGCAGCTGAGAATTGTCATTTGTTTATAGAGCGAAGGGAGACCTTTGTTCAAATTTATGTTTTAGTGTAAACAAAACACTTAAAGCTAGACACTTATAACGAGACACTTATCCGACCAGCGCCAACCAAAAATACATAACCCGGTTTTAAAACGTAGACCCGAAACGTCCCAAAACGTAGTCGTGTAAAACGTGGCGTATATTTGTCTGTCTTCCTTATACTTCTCTTTTCTTTTCTCTTTAGTTGGTGCTCCCAGTGGATCAGTTACTCCCTCTCAGACCCCAATCAGAGATCAGTTGAGTATCAATACTGGAGCTACTGGAGGGTTTGATGAAGAAATGGATACTAGTTATCAAAACCAGGTTAACAGTTTAGCCATTGTGTCAGTTGTAAAAATAGTGCATGTAGTAGTAGTAGTAGCAGTAGTAGTAATAAAATTAGAGAAATAGTTCTTTAGTACCACCCATGTACCTAGTCAAAACAGTGTGTGGCTTGTGGTATAGTGAGTCTTAAAATGGCAGCAGCATCCATTCCTCTTGTGAAGCTAGAGGATCAGTTAACCTGTGGGAGGTGTCACAATCTCTACACTAAACCCAAGACTCTCTCTTGTCTCCATTCATTCTGTCAGCAGTGTATTGAGGCTTTTCCTACCATCCCTACCTTCTTTGTGGCCTGCCCTGTCTGTCATCAACACACTGAGCTACCAGACCATGCTGGGGCTGCTGGCTTTCCTGTGGCACCTCAGATAATAGATTTAAGGCGTATTTACGAGGAGGCAAAGAAGCAGTCGATTGAAGCAAAGTGTGCCAATTGCTCTAGTGGTAATTCGTTTGGTTTCTGTAAGGATTGTAACCAGTATCTTTGTGAGGGCTGCATTGATACACACAAGAAATGGGCTCCTTTTGCTAACCATGTTATACTTAGCCTAGAAGAAGCACTGAAAGTACCTGTTAATGAGCCTTCAACAGATAAAGGAGTAGCTAAGCCTAAGACTGCCGTTATACAGGGAAGAGATGCTGAGATAAGAGAGCAAGGAGAAGCAGTAAAAGAAGAGATAAGGTCCTTCCTAAATAGCGTTGGGGATAAGTTTATAAAAGAAGTCGATGAGATTGTAGAAAGGAAGCTTCAAATGTTGGAGAAGCAGAAGAAAGTGAACCCTTCACTTGAGCCAATAGAGAAACCTGATATACAGTTTATTAAAGGCAACAATGACTCCATCAGTCATCATGTTGGTAGAGTAGTATCTAGTGCTGGACTGGAGAAATGTGTAGTGAGGGAGATAGCTACCATTAAGCATTTACCAGAAGAGAAAGCAATCTCATTTGAGCTATCAATAGAATCACCAGACAATGAAGACTCTCTTTTAGTGTTACCAGCCTCTTCTCTCTCTCTCATTGTTGTACCTGATGCTAATACAAAGCCTTGTCCAGTTATCAATGCTAGAGTGATCCCTACTGATAAACCAGGAGTGTACCAGGTTATATGTACTCCTGTTATTAGAGGACGCTATGAAGTTACCGTAAAAGCTCTTGGCATTCAAATAGGTACTCATTGTTCATTGCTGATACCACTCAATCCTTACACTGATGATGCTATAACTCCTGTTCGCACTATATACGGAGTCTGTGGCCATCATGATGTTGCTATGAGCTTTGGTCGACCTTCAGATATATTAGTATCAGAGACTGGCTCTCATGTTATTAGTGTGTTCAATAAAGGAGGACAGAAAACGTCATCGATTGGGAAAGGACAGAATAACATCACATTCTCTACTAATCAAGGTATTGCAGTTGCTCCTGATGGTTCTATCTTTGTTGCTGATTATGGCAATCACAGGATACAGAAGATACAATATCCTAATACATTTCTTGCTTCAGTCGGTAGTGAAGGAGCTGAGCCATTGCAGTTCAATCATCCTGTTGGTATTGCCATTTCTCCTATCAAAAACCGTGTCTATGTTGCTGATTATGGCAATAAGCGCATTCAAGTTCTGAACAACGATTTGACCTTTTGTCGAATGTTTGGCAAAGAAGGAAAGGGCAACGGTGAGTTTGGTAAGCCTCACGATATCGCTATAGACAGCAGCGGATTCGTTTATGTGTCTGATTCTGCTAACTGTCTTGTTCAGAAATTCACTCATGATGGCAAGTCTCTGTCCCAGTTTGGCACTAAAGGGTCTGGTCCTGGGGAGCTTCATTGTCCTGTTGGTATTGCAGTAGATAATGCTGGCCTTGTTTATGTTACTGAAAATGTTAATCATCGTGTCTCGATCTTTACTGACGAAGGAGTTTTTGTTCATAGTTTTGGAGAGGAAGGTCCTAACGAGGATCAGTTCAAGACCCCATATTTCGGGCTGACGTTTGATGAAGAGGGCTACCTTTACATTTGTGACACACTCAATAAGAGACTAGTAGTATATTAATGACTGATAATAGCTAGTGTACTGATTGATTCTAGGGATATACGTAACATAATGTGTACTTGTAACTTTAAGCCATTATTGTAAATTTAAAAAATAGTTTCTTTAAATTTATTTTTTGATAAATAATTGAGAATGCTATAGATTGTTGATGATCTGAGCCAAATGCACGGTTTTAATACAATGCCTGTTACTGTATATGCCATATAGTTCGCGGGTATTAAATTTCACAGTTTTTGCATTTTAGAAAAATTTGTGAAATTAAAATCCACAAAATAACATGCTGATTGTGTAGTAGGTGTGTTAAAATCACAAAATTTTTATTCGTGAATACAAAAATGCAGCCAAATCACAAAATTTATGCCTGCAAAATATATGGTATATGCAGTATATGCTAATGTCACTGTGCTGTGAGCATTGAGTGATGTGTGTTAGTTAGTGTGCACTTTAAATGTTATAAATGGTCTCCTTTTAGATGGCAATGAAGGCTCAGTTAAGAGCTGGTCTCAGCTCTCTACCAGCTCCACGGAACGACTTTGAGATTGTTATACCAGAACAAGAGGAAGAGGTACAAGAACAAATATAGAATTTCAACTATGGGCATTACTTAGAATAAGGCTTAATTGTTTTAATTGTGGGTGTGGTTTGTAGGATTTATCAGCCAGTGCTGGAGATGATGATATGATTGAAGATGCTTCTGACATTGAAGCAAAGAGACTCAAAGAATTAAAAGAGAAAGGTAGTACATATTGAGATACTTATGCTATGTAAATAGTTTGAGCTGATTCTGACGGAAATTTTTCAAGTTATGGCTATTTTAAAAAGTAGAAAAATCTTGAAAATGCCCTGTACTGTAGTAAAGGACTTTGGTCCTATTTTAATCAACTTTAAAAATTGATTAAAAATTCAATTTTGATCGGAATCAGTTCAAACTTGCTACACATTGTATGTGTATCATTATTATTAAAATGGAGAATTCCCTCCTAGTCATTTTTGGCGATATTTGATCAAAGTCACTGTACTTGATTAGTACAGTGACTTTGGCCCAATTTTTTAGTAACTTGAAAAATCGAATTTTGATTTTAATCAGCTCAAATTACATTTTTATCACATTTTCTGGTGCATATTAATGTCTTTGGGAAGTTAGAGCTGATTCTAATCAAATGTTTTTAGTTAATAAATATACTGCGCTTATTATCCTTGCCTTCTTTTTTAAATTTCCTTCAGAGGAAGAAGAGAGGAAGACGTGGTCACAAGCTGTTCAACGAGGCCTACCAAGACCATGTGAAGTAAATACTTCAATACTTAAAGGAGCTCCACACAGAGATCAGAAATACAGAGACCTTTATGAGGTCAGCTATTGTATTATTAGTATTGTTATTAGTAGGTGAATGTAAACATTGAGGGGGCGAGCATGAGCTATTGATTGACTTCATTGAAATTTCAATGATAAAATAAAAATAAAATAAAATCTAGCTCTTAATCTAATGAGAGAAAACAACATGGTTCTCCCTTTTTTGAGACCATTACCTGCATGTATATTCAGACCCTGTCCTCATGGTCGGGGTCTAAACAGAGCAAATACCGACCAAAGCTAAACTTCTAATCTAGCTTTTCTGACAATCTTAATTCTATCAATGAGACTAATCTTAAGTCAAACTAC